AGGCAGATTAATTTAAGTAGTATAGTTATTATATTGGCTTGACCTACCCAGGAACAGCTAATATTTTTCCAATTATTTAATTCTGTCTTTGTCTCCATAAAATGTTTTATAATTGGATTCATATAGCTCTTGTGCAAATTTTATACATTCTGTTTATTTTAAATAGAATTTCTCTATCTCTTTGTGCTGGGTTTTGTTGGTGATGGCATTTGGTTGCACATTTGCTAGGCTTGGAATTAAAAAGATCAGATTTCAAATCCAGTCTAGGAAAGTCCCTTCATCTCTGTTGCCTCACTTGCCTCATCTATAAAATGGGATAATAATAGCACATACCTTCTAGGGTTATTGTGAGGATAAAATGAAATAATTTTTGTAAAGAGCTTTGCAAATCTTAAAACTCTATGTAAATGCTGTTATTATATACTGAAATGTAGATGGTATATTTGGATTTATTTTATATCCTACAACTTTGCAGAAGTTACTTTTTTCTGATTAATTTAAATGAAATTATCATGTTTATTAATTAACCATTTCTCCTGAAGTTGAAATTTGAAAATATGGCTCAGAAACAGATCTAAGAGAAACAGAGGACTGGAACCACAGAGAAACCAATGCCATCTCTCTTATTAAGACAGAGTAGTCTCTAAGAAAGCTAGTTAACTACAGAATAAATTATCATCATAACTTGAATTTCAGTCCTATTTTATGATTGACGAAGAATTTTCCCATTTATTATCTCCATATACGCTATAATATGTACATAGTTGTTTCCTCCCCCACAAGAGCTAATAATAGCACCTATCTCCAAGGTTTACTGTGAGGATCAGATGAGATAATATTGGTAAAGTGTTTTGCAAATCTTAGAGCACAATATAAATGCTAGCTACTATTATTATTAGCTTGTTAATTTCCATGTACAGAAATCCTGTGTTCTTGTCATTTGTCTTTGCTACAGAGTATTCCATCATGTAAATCTGGTATAGTATATATTGCCCTATCATTAGGCATTTGGATTGTTGCTTAAATGGGAAGCTGTATAAAAACCCAGGGAATTCATAGGCCAAAGTATATAGGTAAGAGAACATGTTAAGAATTTTTCTGTTTGATGCTACCAAGGGAAATACATCAAAGAACTAATAATCCTAAAAAGATATAAAATAATATCTCTATATAAAAACTTTTTAAAAGTTTGTTCTATAACAATAATTCAGATTTATGTGGTGTTTTACAATATAATAATAAGATCTAGCATTTATACAAGTCTTTAAAGTATTCAAAACACTTTATATATGTTAACTCACTTGATTCTCATAACCCTGTGAGGTAAGTACTGTTGTTATCACCATTTTACAGATGGGGAAAATAAGGCTTAGGCTAAGTGACACGCCCAGGGTCATAGAGCTAGTAAGTATCTAAAGCTGGATTCAACCCCGGTCTTCCTGATACCAAGTCCAGCATTCTCATCTGCTGTGCCACCTGGCTGGCCTGATCTACAAGGTATTTCTTTACTGTGAGGTATATCATGTAAATATTATTATCTTCTTTTTTTACATAAGGAAACCAAGGTTCAGGTGTGCCCAAGCCACACATTAAATGAATGGAGGACCCAGGAATTGAACCCAGGTCTAGTCGTGTAAAGAATCGCTGAACTTAGAGTCCTAGGATCACAGAATCTCCAAGTGCGAAGGGACCACATCTAGTCCAATCTATATTTGAATAAGGATCCCCTCTAAAAAAAAAATGGGACAAGAGGTTGTCCATGCATGGTGGAGTAGAGGAAGAAGCTGTGTAATGGGGGAAAGGAGATGAGTTTGGATTAGAAGTTATAAGGGAGGTATCTTGGAAGAAGGAGCCCTTGAAAAGAGAGATGGGGGACAGAGTCCTTCAAAAGGGAATGGTTGAAATTCAGGAGAACTGGGTTTGAATACAGCTTCAGACCACCAGAAAGTCACAACTTCTCAGAGTCTTAGAATAATAGGGATAATAATATGTGTGCCTCTTAATTTTCAGGGTTGTTGGGAGGAAAATATTTTTGCAAACTTTTAATATTTTATAAATGTGAACGATTATGATTATTTTTCCACTATACCATATGGCCTCCCAGAGCTGATCATAGATAGAATTCCCTGCCCAAGAGAGCAGTGCAGGGATGTCTCCCAGAAGGGTCAAGGATCACAGACTCATCCCCTAAAAAGCCCCCAGGTAGGTCAACAATTCCAGTTTGTCCAGAACAGATCTCTGGAAGAGTGAGCAAACAAAAAGAGAAAAGAGTTTTGTGAGGTCAGGGATTCCTGAGATACAAATCTAGAAGAAGATGATAACTCCAAGACGCCTACAAACAAAGCCTCAAAATAAAACAGAGGTTGTACCCAAAATCAATTAGAATTCCTAGAAGAAATAATGCAGGGGTTTTTGTAAAGATGAGTTTAAAATGGTATTGTAAATGAGATGAAAGTGATAGGGGAAAAATTGGAAGGGAAATGAGCATTCTGGAGGAGAGACTTGGAGAGGGAATTAGCAGCTTGGCATGAGAGTTATGAAACCTCACCCAAGTAAGGTTTACCCTGAAAATTAGAATGGGCCAGACCAAAGTGAATGACTCTCTGAAACAACTAGAAACAGTGAAATAAAGTCAAAAGATTAAAAAAAGAAGAAGAAAATATATAGTATTTCCTATCAAAAACAACTGATCTGGAAAATGGATCAAGAAAAGGTCATTTAAGAATCACTGGACTAAAAAAAAAAGTCACTGGACTTACTGGAAGTTACGACCAAAAAAATTGAGCCTAGATATCATATTTCAAGAAATCATGAAAAATAGCTGCCCAGGTCTTTTAGAACCAGAGGGTAAAGTAAAAATAGTAGACATTCACTGGTCATTTCCTTAAAGAAATCTCCCAAAAGGAAAACTCCTAGAAACATCATACATTGCCAAAATCCAAAGCTTCTAGGTCAAAGAAAAAAAAAAGATTGCAAACTGCCAGAAAGAGTTTAAGAATTCAAGAACCACAGTCAGGATCACACAAGATTTAGCAGTTACCACTAAATGGGAGCAGAAAGCCCATAATATGATATTCTAAAAAGAAAAAAATAATGATAATAGTAATTATAATAATAACAACTAGCACTTACATAGCAATTTAAAGTTTACAAAGTACTTTATAAATATTGACTCATTTTCTCCTCATTATAACCCTGGGAGGTAGGTGCTATCATTATCCTCATCTCATAGATAAGGAAAAAGAGGCAGACAAATTAAATGGTCACATAAAAGGGTCACATAGATAGTAAATGTCTGAGGCTGAAATTGAGTTTGCTTGGTTCTTCCTGAATTCAGGTCTAGCTTATAGTAAAAAATAACTTATCCAGAAAAAAAAAAAAAACACATGCTATAATCCTACAGGGGGGAAAATAGATCTCTAACAAAATAGAGAATTTCCAATTACTCTTGATGAAAAAGCTGAAGCTAGTAGGAACTTTAAAATACAAACATGGGAGTAAAGAGCAACATGTAAAGGTAAATATGAGTGAGAAATCAGAAAAAAAACTTTATAAAGTTGAAGTGTATACATTTTAATGGTGGAAGGGGAAAGATACAAGCATCCCCTAAGAACTGGGTTATCAGCAGGACTTATAGAGGGAGTCAAATAAGATGAAGGGCCTGGGAATGATTTTTGTTATGTTTTGATTATCTTAAAAGGAGAATGGGGTGTGTATGGGGAGGTGGGGCAGATACACAAGAGAAGAAAAGGAGAGGAATATAGAGTATATATCTCACAGAATCATAGAGAACAAGTAGAAGTCTCCATGAATAAAGAAGGTGTCAGGGAAGTAGACATTACTTGAACATCATTTTGAACTGATGCTGAGTGAAGTGAGCAGAACCAGGGCAATTTATGATATAACAACAATATCCTAAAAATGAACAATCTTGAAGGATTTAAGATCCCTGATAAACTCAATGATTAACCAAAATTTCAGAGTCTTTCAGAGAATGGAGGCATTAGAATGCCACCTACCCCCTGACAGAGTGAAACACAGACCATGTGAGAATATGTTTTGCTTGACTATGTGTATTTATTAGAAGGGTTTTATTTTTTGTTTTTTCTTTTTTTCCCCAGTGGAGGAGAGGGGAGAGTAGAAAGGAGAGAGAGCAGATGCTTGTTAATAATTTTTTTAATTAAAAAAATAAACAAGGGGAATAGTGGGAGATAAAGTTGGATGGATAAAATGAGATCTGATTATGCAAAGCCTAGAATGCCAGACTAAATTTGGACTTCTTATCGTGTAGGAAAGAAATGGTGGGCCTGTAAGTAGAATAAAAGGAATTTGGAAGTTCCTTCCACATGAAAAGAACCTTAGAGACCAAACCCCTCATTTTGAAGATGAAGAAACCAAGGCCCAGAGAGGTTAAGTGATTCACTCAAAGTCACACAGCTAGTTAGTGGCAGAGCTAAGATTCAGACCCAAGACCACTGTTCTTTCCACTAAGCCGCAGATAGCTGCCCCTCCAGGTGCCATAGAGTTTTTCCATTAAGGACACGTCCAACTCCATTCAAACGCAGGCATCTCTCCCTCCCCTACATCTGCTGCTCTCTTCCCTCCCCCACACCCCTGGTCCTATCCCTGCCTGTCCCCAGCTCAAGGAGGATGGGAGGGGGAGAGAACAGAGATGGGTAAACAGAAGCCATGTGCTTTTAGTTCAGTCAGTTTCTTCTGTCCCAGCCTTGTGGGAAGAGCAAAGGGTCTTGCCTGTAGGAGTCCAAGGCCCTGAAGATCTCTGGAAGAATGGGCTTCTGGGAAGTGGAAGGGGCAATGACCCCTTCCTTCTCAGAGACCTGAAAGAATCACAGGAATGGAGGAAATGAAGTGGAGACCTCCTGAATGGATTCGTGGTTCCAGGGATCAAGGTTCCTGCCATTCCCCCTGGGAGTCCCAGTTGACTCCTGCCCCTTTGTGACAGAGGGATGGTATTATGCCTTTTCTAATCCCCCACGCAGTGTTCAGTGGAGGCTGGAGTTTGGAGTTTGACCGGCAACATCTCAGGAGCGGGGAAGCAATAGTGGCCTGAGCTTTCTACTTCCTCAGTGCCTCAAGGCTGGAAGGAGAAGAGAGCCTGCTTCCAGATCTCCCCTTCCCTTGTTCATCTCCTTGCTCTCCTCAGCCTTTCTGGGGAACTACTGCCTTACCAGTAAGGCAGCTCCTCTGTAAGGTAAGCGACCCTCTTTTTGCCCAGCTCTGTGGGGCTGTCCCAGGCTAGGGCTCAGAAAGGGATCAATAGGGACCGAGGCTTAGGGCAGGATGACTCCAAGGATAAAATAGCCAATTCTACCTTGAGATCCTTCCACAATCCCATTAGCCTTGAAAGTGGAATTACTACGGTGTTACTTGAAACAGGAATTACTAATTACTGTAGTATTCCGCTCCTCACTTTTTTCCAAATCGGAAATCTATTGAATACATCCATAGAATAAGTTATCTCTCTCTGGAGGGTGGTCTTTGAGCAGCTAGAAGGGCACCTGTAGTGTACTGCAAAGAATTCCTGAAAATCCACCATTAGAAATTCATTTCTTTGGGGCTTAAGGATAGTAAACTGAAACTAAGAAGACCAGGGTTTAAGTGGCTCTGTCACTGAATAGTTGTATCATCTTGGACACCTCATTTTCTGTCTCTGGGTCTCAGTTTCTTCATTGGAACAATTAAGGTTTGGACTATATTGTGTAAAGCCCCTTTCCAGTTCTGGCATCCTGAGGCCCAAGTGTTATCTAGATCTTATTCCATAATTCTGTTCAGTAGTGTGTTAGTAAATGTTTAACAACTGTCTCTTCAAAATGCTGTTAACTTTAACCTGCACGATTAATATTTTCTCCATTACTTTCTTAAGTCCTCGATAACCAAAAAAGCAATAAACCAAGCCTTGTTTATAGGGTTTATTGATTTCTAATGTGTAAATGTTCATGCTGAAAATTTAGCAATCAGCCACTTTGAGTTGGCACCTCTGATTCTATTTCTAGGGAGCTGGTCAGATTCTAGCCTTAGCTGCCTGTCCTGACAGGCACTTGGCTTGACCAACGGGGCAGTCAGTTTACTTTTCCCAGAAGTCCTATCAACATCCATGTGTAAAAAGGCAGCTCTCCCACGTATTCCTTCTGAAGTTCTAGGAACTTAGGTGATCATCCTTCTCCTACCGTTTGACCCGTCTCCCTCCATGAACTTCAGATGGATGTTGAATTCAGCTTTGGTGTTTGGTTAACCTCAGTAGGTTAGGGTGGGCCCCAAGGTTAGGGAGCCACTCCCAAGCTGAAATGTTTGAAGCCTGTGCATGCCAGGTCCCAACCTGTGAAGAAATATCGGGGGGAGGGGTCTCTGAGTTCTCTTCCTGAGCAAAGATTCCATAATCTTATGGTCACCAATAGCCTCATTCCAGCAACCTGATCTCATCAACTTACTGAGTAATCAAGGCACGTTACTCACTTTCTAGGATCCTCCAGAAAACCAGGAGGTTGGGCTACAAAGACTCAAAGATCCCGTCTAGCTCTGCGTTCTCTGATTCTGTCTGGGTCCCTGAAACTCCTCTACTAGAAATGCATTTCTTTGGTGCTCTAAGACTTTCTCAGCTTCCAGAACACTCTTTTAAAAGGCAAATACTTGGGGTAGCTAGGTGGCGCAGTGGATAGAGCATCAGCTGTGCAGTCGGGAGGACCCGACTGCAAATGCGACCTCAGATACTTGACACTTCCTAGCTGTGTGCAGTCACTTAACCCTAATTGTCTCGCAAAAACAAAATAAAAATAAAATGCAAATACTTAAAGAAAGGGACTAGCTGGTGCCTTATCAGCTTAGTGAGTAGCAGGCTGTCAGCAAAGCCTCTGAAATAGGGGGCAAGTTGCTGAGGGAGGCAGTTGTTTTTCTTTTTTCTTTTTCTTTTGGTGAGGCAATTGGGGGTTAAGTGACTTGCCCAGGGTCACACAGCTAACAAGTATCAAGTGTCTGAGGTCGGATTTGAACTCGGGTCCTCCCGACTCCAGAACTGGTGCTCTATCCACTGAGCCACCTAGCTGCTCTCCTACTTTTCAGCATCCATTGACCTTCTCCCTTGGAAAAAAAAGATCTCTTCCTTCACCCTACCTACATTGCCCTCTCTATACCTATCCCATCCCCATCTTCATCCCTTAACAGACAGATACATATACAATGTCTTGGGCTAGGACTCCCAAGCCATGGGGACTGAATCCAACTCAAAGGGCCAAATCTAAAGTCAAAGGACTGCACTTGAGGACCTAGAGGGCCACATGTGGCCTTGAGGCTTCAGGTTCCCCACTCCTGACTGGACAGTTTATTTGGGGCAAAGAAGACACTCCAGGACACCAGACCACAACCAACATGGAGTTGGGTGGCAAAGAGATTCTGGTTTGGGAGGAGCTCCCATGGACTAATTACAGTATTCTTCTTCACTAGTTGCTAAATTCAGTTGTTTTTATACTGCTCAAGTTTTACACAGAAAATGTTGTTAACACCCTCTAGATTTTGGTGCCCAGGGAAAAGTTCCAGTTGCCTTGGCCTACTTACACTTCTACTCATTTTGTAGTTTTTATTTTGTTTTGTTTAGTTCTGCTTATTTTTAAAAGGAGGGAGTTAGAGTAGGTGTGTCTAAGGTCCCTTCTAACTTTGACTCTGCTCTTGCAATAGGGACCTGTGAGCTTTGAGGTATGAATTAGCGTAGCCATTTCTAACAGCAGAAAGACTATAAATAAAATTGTGACTCTCCAAGGCAATTCATCAATCAACAAACATTTATTACACACCTATTGTATGCCAGGCACTGTGCTAAATGCTGGGGGCCAGGGTGCAAAGACAAAAATGAAATAATCCCTGACCTCGGTGAACTTTCATTCCATCAGTCTTAGTGTTGTTGTTGAGTCGTTTCGTGACCACATTTGGGGTTTTCTTGGCAAATATCCTGGAATGGTTTCCTATTTACTTGTTCATTTTATGGATGAAGAAAGTGAGGCCAATAAGGGTTAAGTGACTTGCCCGGGGTCATACAGCTAGTAAGTGTCTGAGGCTGGATTTGAATTTGGGAAGATGAGTCTTCTTGATTCTAAGCCATTGTGCCATCTAGTTGCCCAATCTTAGTGTAGAAGACATAGAAGAGTCAACTTGCCTTGCCCTTGGTTCATCCTTCACTGTGTGTACTTTTTATCACAGCGAATTTCTACTCCCACCATCTTCTTTCATAAGAGACTCCCACGAAGCAGTCCTTCCTTCCCCTTAGGCTTTGGGGGCAACAAAGGGAGATGAATTGGAGTTATACCTTCCAAAGTCTCATTTTTATCGCAATGGACTCACTTCCCTGCCCTTCCCCCTTTTTTCCACTTAAGGATCTGTAGGAGACAAACTCCCACCTCAAGGATATCAGGGCTGTGTGGGCAAGAATAAATCATAAACCATGGAGTATTAGTACTAGAAGGGGTCTATAAACTCATTTAGTCCATCCACCTCATTTTATGGATGAGAAAACTGAGTCCCAATTACAGTGAGTTAGTAACAGAGTCATGACTGTGACTAGAATCTAGGCATACTATCCGCCAGTCCAGGGCTTTTCCATTACGCAATTAGGCTCAGGTCCCAGAGAAACATCCTGGAGATTTAGGGAGTTGGGGACTGTGCCAATCTTCCTGGTCCCACTTCGATGCCCAGAAAGAATCGATGAATAACTAACTTGTTTATCTATTCCAAGCTGATTCCCCTACTGTGCCAGGAGATGAGAGGAGCCCTTCCCTTTCTTCTTCTTCTTCCACCTTCTCCCTCTCCCCCTTTTTCTTATAACCCTTCCTCTCCTCTGTTTTCCTACTTCTTCCTCTTTACCCACTTTCTCCCTTCTTACAACCTCTCTCTCTCCCCAACTCCTCCATCCGCCACCTTCTCCTTTCTTCCCTCATCACCCTGCTGGAGTGCTAAGGTCTAGTCTGGGCCATGCCTATGACCAAGGGAAGATCTGGGCCTTATTCAGCCCAATTCCTATAGTACCTTCCCCTTGTCATTGTCCCATTTGTTGTTGTCCTCTACTAATGATCTGACCTTCACTTGAGAAAATGGATGGATGGGCTCACTACACTTGGGTCTGTGGCAGTGAAGGACAGTGCAGGATGCCTGGCTCAGGAGATAGCAGGACCTCTCTGTTCGATGGGCTGACAACTCATATAAACAATAGAAAAAATTCCAGAGACTCTAGCCAATCCCAGCTCTAAGGGAGAAGAATGTTCCCCTCAGGAAGTAGAAAGGAGATCAGGGGTGGAGTCCCTGAAGAGGGTGCCACCTGATCTAAAGAAGCTTCTCTGTCTTGATTTACCCCCAGTTTTCTTTTACCCACAATTAGGGTTCATGGCCTGAACCTGTGCTGATATGCTGCTAGTGAGCGCTTGAATTTGAGATTAAGAACAGGCACAGTAGGCCAGGGATTGGTTGCCATAATGGTTTGTCCGAGGGTTAGGGTGGGTAGAGTTGGTGGCACAGGGTTGGCTGTTAGCTCTAGTGATGTCTCACCACGTAGGATAAAGGAAACTTGTACCCTAGTGAGGGGGGAAGAGATGGGACAGTGGAGGAAGCTCCCAGGCGCCTTCGTCTTACTCTCCTGACCCCTGGAAAACTAACAACCTTCCTTCCTTGAAACCTGAAGTTGATACTTAGTCAATTCAATTCAATAAGCATTTATTATGCACCCAAAGTACTGTGCTGGAGGAGATACGGTGTATGTAACAGAAAGTGTAGATAGTACTTTGAAAATGAGAGGGGAAAGATCATTAATAAATGTGTGTGTCCGGGGAAAGTGCCTGGGAATCTGGGAAGGCTTCCTGGAGGAATGTGGCTTTAAAGAAAGGGTAGCTATTCAAAGGATAAAGAGGAAGAAGAAGGACAAATAGGCAACAGAAAGAGCCAAAGAAGAGAAACAGAGTATGTATGAGGCGAGGGGTTCAGGTGGTGAAAGCACAATTTTGAGCAGAGAAGAGACATGATCTGGGTGAAATATGATGAAACAGTTTTAGGGGCAGACTGGAAGGGAATTGAGTAGAGGTGAGAGTCCTGTTTAAGAAATAATTGCAGGGGCGGCTAGGTGGCGCAGTGGATAGAGCACCGGCCCTGAAGTCAGGAGGACCTGAGTTCAAATCCGGCCTCAGACCAAACACTTGACACTCACTAGCTGTGTGACCC